AATGGTAATTTATTTATTTTGCGACAAACACAAAAACCTGTTTTATTATTAAATATTTATATATATATATATATATATATATATATATAATAAATATGAAAGAAATAAATCGTAAAAAGTGTTTGTTGTAAAACTTACTTCGAGTATTTCATCACCAACTGCAAGACCACCAACTTTATGAGCAGCACCATTTGGATTAATTCCACAAATGAAAACAGCCATTCGATTTCTATCCTTGTGTCCGGCAAGTGATATACCTAAACTACCCCGTTCCTTTTCTACTTTCACCATTAACACCTTGTGACCCAGATTATGATATTTCTTTTGTATTTTCACTAAGAAACAGAAAACAAACAAACAAACAAAAAAATCAACAAAATAAATTTAAACATTAAATGAAATAATAAAATAGTTCGTAGTACTCGTGCGAAGTAGATAAAAATAATTGAGTTGTTTTTTTTTTTTTTAACATTTTGCATTTTGCATTTTGCTTTTTTTTCGTAGATGTGAATAATATATCCTACGTGTTTAAATTAAAATAAATTTTAAATTAAATGTGAAAAACGAATGATAATAATTATTTATTTATTATTATTTCTTAATGGACGATATTATTTAAAAAATATTTGAAATTATTTAATTAGAAGAAAGGCAAATAAAAAAAAAAAAAAGGTAGAAAACTTACTGCCGGTGTATCCATATTCATCTTCTTCTTCTGGATCAGCATCTATCTCAGCTTTCGTTCTTTTCACGTTGGCAGCACTCTTTCTGGATATCTAAAACAGATAACAAATAAAAAAAATACAGATGATTATTAAAAAAAAAAAAAAAAAAATTAAAAAAACAAATAGTAAGACAATCAATTAAAAGAAATATTTATTTTATTATAATTAATATAATTTGACACGAAGATATTAAATATACCCCCCCTCCCTCGCCAAAAAAACAAAAGAATAGAAAAATAAAAATACAATAAAAATAAGAAAAAAAGAAGTCAAAATTTAAATCATTAATAATTAATAATCTTACCTCCATTCCCCCCTTCGTATAAACATTACCCTCCAATTCACGAATATCCTCTTCTTCAGAACTCTCCTCCGAAGAATATTTCTTCGTAGGAGGTTTTTGCACCTGTTGAGGTGGTGCAACATGATCATCTCGTTCTTCACTAACTTCACGAAGTATTCCTGGATTCGATGGCGGCGATGGCGCCTTTTTACGTATTGATTTTTTCATGGAGGATCTACAGAAAAAAATATTCCATCCAAAATCGTTTATTAATTAAAAAAAAAAAAAAAAAGTAAATAAACAAAAAATAAAACAATTCAACAACTAACGGTAAAACTATTTCTTTTTTTTTTTGTTTTTTTGTTTTTTTTTGTACGAATACGATAATTTTCTTTCGTATTAGTTTATTGTTCCTTAAATTTTAATATTATATTTTTAAACAAAAATTGTGCTGGAGAATTTTTAAAGAAAAATATAAAAAATTATATTTATAATGTAAATCATGAAAAAGTAATTAATTAATTAATTAATTTAAGTATACGATATTGTAGCATATTATATCAACTTGTGTGTTTGGAAAATTATTTAAAATTTTAAACAACATATTCGAATTATTTTACAGCAACAATAAAGTATTCTAATTTAATATAATCTTATAAATGCGTTATTTATATTATATGTTGCAAATAAACATAAATAATTAAAAATAAAAATAATATAATATACCTTCTTGCGCTAGGACCAGCGCCATCTGTGCTTCTTATACTTTGCCTTTTAAAATCCCTCGATGGAGTTTTCTCACTATCTTCAATTCCACTCTAAATTAACAGAAATAAATCCCCCAAAATATCTATTAAAATATTATCAATCTTTAATTAATATTACAACATTTACTAAATGACGAAACTCGTCATATATTATCAAAAAATTGTAATCTTAACCTATCTTTTCAGGTTTTTGCAACGAACCAAAATGGACGCACATTATTTTCAAAATAAATCATATCAAATTTCCCGATTATATTAAATTCAAAAAATTATTGTTATCAAGTCAATGATAATTATTTATAACAAACCTGAATTACTTCCGGCGTGATTGATCTGGCAGGTGAAATCGGTGAAGGTTTTTGTCGAAATGATGCAGTGGGTGTACCTGGAGCTACACCAGAAACTGGCAACCGATTTTTACTTTTTCCATCTTGCGAATGACTTTCGTTCTCGGTAGTCTACGATAAAATAGAAAAAATATTAAACAATAACTCCTATTCACTGTACAATTTTATATACAACAAATGTAACAACAACAGCAACAATATAACAACAATGATGTCACATTCAAAATCTAATTCATATATCAATCAAACGAAGATGCAATTGGTTATTGTAATAATTATATTCCCTAATTTTTAATCATTATTTATATTTATAAATATATTATATGATAAATAATATATTTATATGTATAAATATTAAAATAATATATCGATTGATTTACAATCGTTTTTAGATGAACTTCCTCAACTTACGAGATTGTTTCTGTTTTATTTTATTATTTTTTTTATTTATTTAATAACTTCTGTTTTCGCAATATCAAAAACCATGTTGTTGAGTGTAATTAAACAGTGTAATATTTTAACATCGATGAAATAACAACAAAAAGATAAAATTAAAAAAGGAAGAGAATGTAAATCCCTCTCACATTGATCAAACTGAAAAGAGAAAAAAAGGGGATATTAAGAGATCAATAATAATTTCTCTTCCTTTTCACATTATCACAATGATGTAACAGTGTAAATTATTAGTGTAATTAACATTTAAAAAAAAAAAAAAAAAAGCAATTATATAAGAAGAAAAAAATTGAATCGTTGAGAATCTTTTCATTCATAAAATTGAACGAGAAGATTATCGATCAATTTGTTCCAACTTGTTCTTAACACTAGTCACAATGATGTACATGTATAACAATGTAATTAATAATGTCATATAAACAGTGTGTAATTAACATCGAAGTAAAAAGAAATAAAAAAAACAATAAAAAATTCTTTGGTTGTTTCTACATTCGTAAAATTGAAATAAAAGATCATCGATCAATAAACAATCTTCTTCTTCTCGTTCCTTTTCTCTCACAATATTAAAATTCAATTACAATGTAATTTCACGGTGCAATTAACAATGTAATTAAAAAAAAAAAAAAAACGTAAAAATAATATTAACAAAAAATAAAAAAGGTATAATGATAAAAAAGAAAAAGTATATAAATTGTATAGTTTTCCGAATTGCAAGAAAAATCATCGAAAATTTGTTTGACTAAAATGAAAAATAATTATTAATAATAATTATATGAAATTAATAATCAAATTGAAAATATATATATATAAAATATATTATTAATAATAATTATATCAAATTATTAATAATCTAATAAAAAATATATAAAATATATCACAGTACCACAACGATATCACACGGTGCATAATTGACGATGCAATGACAGTAAACAAAACTAATACCAACAACAATAAAAATTAATAAATAAAATATAAATAATGTGGAATAGAAGAACTTTGTTTAAACTAGAATAAAAAAAAAAAAAAAACGATCATCAATCGTATATATCAATAATTTTCCCCCTCTTACCCTTTTTCATTTACTTCACGATATCACACAAAGAGATGTCACATAATTAACAGTGCAATTAGGGTAAACAAAATAAACAAAAAGATAATGCAAATAAAATGAAATTGAAAAGAGAATTTGACTAACTAAAATAAAAAACTACAAATGAAATAAAATAAAAAGGATCATCGATCAATAATAATTTTCCCCCTTCTTACCCCTCTTTCATTTACTTCACGATAACACACAAAGAGATGTCACATAATTAACAGTGCAATTAACAAGGGTAAACAAAATAAAAAATAAAAATGAATAAAATGAAAAAGGATCATCTATCGATAATAATTTTTTTCTCTCTCTCTCTCTCTCTCTCTGTCTTTCTCTCTTTGAGTTTGTCTGTTCCTTTAACCTCACATACACCGAAGGTGACGCATTTCCGTCCAAAGAGTCGATGCATCGTGAGATAGATCCTCGATAAAAGGAAACTGGCAGCTAGCACGGGACTCGCCGGCAGCTGTGGTTTCGTCGACGAAACTGAAAGCGTCGTCGATCGAGTAAAAGGGGGATGATGATCGAGGGTGGTCGATGCCAACTAACCCTCCACACCACCCTTTTGCCCCTTTACTCTCGAACCACCTGTCCCGATGATGGCCGATCCGGTCTCGTTGCAACGATGTCATCCACACACACGTACACACATATATTTATTTTTCTAGATTTCTATATTTCTATAGATATATATATAAATATGTGTATATACAGGGTGATTCATGATAAACACACGAATATTATTTTACTTCCGTTTTTTTTTTATACAATTCGAATGAAATTCAATTCGCGGTATACCTTGAAATATGAAATTAAAAAATTATCTGTTAATAAGTGTTGTTAAATGATAATACATAGAGAAATAGATAATATAAGTTGTAAATGATTTTTTTTTAAATATTTAGAAATATGTTATCGAACCATTTTGAGTATTATATTATTGTTTAAATAATTTATTTTAATTTCTTTCAAAATAATCTAACGTTTATATATTTGGAATACAAAATATATCTTCAACAAATGTATTTTAATTATATTTAAATGTAATATTAAAATAATATTCTATATATATATTTAAATCTAATATTATTATATGTATTATAATAGAATACTATAGAATATATATAATATTATAGAATATAATTTATATAAATATATATATTAATATATATATATATATATATAAATTATTAGAATAATATGGAATCATGCTAATCACATTATTTATTCTTTTTGTTTAGCAAAAAAAAAACAAATATATATATAAATAGAACCGAAGTTAGATCTTCGTGTCTCCTTATAAAAAAAAAAAATTCACGTCATGAAAAACATTATTTAAATAATCAGATTTTTCCTACCCCTTTCAATGATATTACTGCAATTTTATCTTGTAAAGTTCTTTCAATATGATTGCAAACAGAAGAAATATCCAGGTGTTCACTTTATCAAAGAATCACCCTATATATTTTTATATATATAGGACTATCTTTCTCTTTCTAAACGGCCTTTGTCCTTATTTTTCTATCGTCGTATATTTGAACCTTTTCACGTTTTCTGGTCCGTAGATTTATCGGAAAGTTGGAGCTTTTGCTAGTGCATCCATCCCTTGCGCTTACGCGTATTGTTCTAAAGGGTCATATAACTTCTCTTTTTTTTCTGTTTTATTTTTTTTTACACAAACACTTCTATAATAGTACGTAGCTAATATTTTGTTCCTTGCATCGATGAATTCAATTATAGATTAATATAAAAAAAAATATATTAAATTTTACGTTTTTTTTTTTTTTCTTATTTTGCTTTCGTTTCTTCACCATTTTTTTCCACGAAATTTAATAATTTAACGAATGTTAAACAATTTGTTATATATCGTGAATATTTTTTAATAAACAAATGCACTTTTATTACTTCGAAGTTTTCCATAAAACTTTCTTTCAACGTCAAATCTTATTTACGTAATATTTTCTACCACAAAAATTTACGAAACACGCGAGAATATTTTTATAAACATTTTTCTAAATAAAAAAAAAAAGAATTCTACGCGTTAAATATAATCATCAAAGTTAAATGTAAATTAAAAAAATTAATTGTCGGACAAAACATTGGGAAAATAATTTAAAAAAAAAAACGAAATAGGGATTGACAAAAATCATTAAAAAAAAAAAAAAAAGATAAATTGCGAGAGACATTTAAAGATAATTAAGATAATGGACAAATCTTCTTGACGTTAATTGGAGTACTTTGGATATTTCCAAAGATCTGTAGGATTGATTGGAACAAAACAAAAAAAGAGAAAAAAAAACTCCACTAATTAGTAAAAAAAAAAAAAAAAATAATAATAAAAAGACTGGATTAAAGTATACGAACCAACAACAATAACAACAACAAAAAAAGAAGAAAATAGCATCGAACGAGTATATACAATTGATATCTTTACCCCCTCATGTTTCCACCTTATACCCTGTACTAATTTCAATTTCAATGATTCTAAAAATTTAAAGAACAAAAAATACGAAAAAATCTTTTAAACAAATGCCAGATGATATATTATATCATTTAAAATATCAACACACATTCCTATTCGTAACGTTAACACAAAAATAGAATTAAAGGGGTGCTGGCCTGAAAATTTTGCAAGTTACTTCTACGTGTCTTATTTATGTGTGCAAATATTTATGTATGTATGTATGTATAAATGTATTTCTAGATAGAATAAAAGTATACTACGTGTTATAGAAATAGATAGATAGATTTAATCGAAAGATAAAAAGAGAAAGAGAGCGAGAGAGAGAGAGAGAAAGACAGTGTGAAAAGAAGAGGGTGGGGGGTTGGGGGTAGAAAGGGGAAACAAACTTAAACGAAATCTGAAAATTGGGTATATCCGATATCAGCTTGTGTCCAAAGAGAGAGCCTCTCTCTCTCTCTCTCTTTTTTTTTTTATCTCACACTTTCACACTATCACACTCTCATGAAAATTATGACTGAGATTAATTGGAGATTACCAAACGTGTGACCCAATTTTTTTTTCTCCGAGATTTTCAAAGACAATTATATTTTTCTTTTTTTTTTTTTTTTTTTTTTTGGAATGAATAATACAATGAAGAAGAGAGAAGATTGAGAAAATTCTATTAAATACGTTCGTTAAATAAAAATGGAGAAAAATGGAAGAAGGGATACGTAAGCCTGTAAATTAGTTCACAGTTAATTAACTGTAATTTAAAGAATTATAATTAATGATTTATCTTATATAATGTAAATTGAATTTCTTTAAAAGAATATATAATCTCGATCGGTAATTAATTCTTTGACTGTTTTTTTTTTACTGTGTAATTTGTCAACACCTCTATTAATATAATTACTCGCATACAACGTACACATCCACATATCTAAGTAGATATAATATTACAAATTTGTAATAGTATAATATATATATATATATATTTGTGAACAAAAACTTTGAAGAGCAGAGAGAAGAAGAAGAAGAAGAAGAAGAAGAATGATCGAACATTTAAATTCATTTGCAATCAAAAAAAAAAAAAAATGTAATAAGCAAAGATAAAGGAATGATACGTAAAATTACATGTAAAAATATGTAAAAAAAAAAAAAATACACACAATGTTTCTATAATACATAAATACAAAAAAAAAAAAGGGTGTACAATAATATACCGTGCACGTATATATGTGTGTAAGTGTGTATAGTTACATGTAAATGGAGTAAAAAGGATACACAGTTATGTGTACAGGTATTTCGATGAACTTTTTTCTTGTTTTTTTTTTTTTTTCGTTTTGTTATTTTTAATAATAATTAACCACGGAAAATTCGCGAGTGTGTAATCCACCACTTTGTTCGTTATTGACCGACGAAAAAATTTGGGCTTTGGTAAGAACATCGAGAATAATAATAAGAATAATAATAATAATAATAATAATATATATATGTATAGTATATATAGTGCTTGATGATGATCGTGCCGAGATCGTCTCTCACCAGATGCACCAGAGATTGGACGAGGAGGCAGACAGGATTTCCGGCAGCTTGAATGACCTCGACCGCTCGTTCGTGTGTACTATTTCGCAGATCCACTCCGTCCACTTCGATTATTCTGTCACCGATCTGTATAAAAAAAAAGAAAAAAGAAAGCAAACAAAAAGAAAAAGAAAACGAAAATAAAAATATACCAACAAATAAAATAGAAAAAAAAAAAAAAGAAAAAATCGAGTACGTTGTAAATATGTATATATACATATATAAATATGTGTGTAAATAAATCACACGTTACAATTCATTTTCAACAAGGTAAATTCTTTCTAGTCTTCCTCACTATCCCAAGTATTTTCTTTTGTCAATAGATTATTTAATAAATTATAAATTAAAATAAATAAATATAAATTTGGTATACCATTATGAAAAAAAGAACAAAAAATGAAATAATAATAATTATAACTTAAAGTCTATTTTTTAACGTAATTTGTCTGTGTATCATATTATGTTAATTACTTTATTCTATTATATTTAATAAAATAATTTATTAAATATTTTACTTATCTATCACGAATTATGATAAAATATAATTATGTATTATTTATAATACTAAATTCGTCATCTTATTTCTTTTTTTAATATTTTTTTTTCTGCAATAATATGGAATTGATTTATTAAATCAAATTATTATCATATTATTATCTAATAAAATTATATATTATACCTATTTACCAAATTGATTCATAGATATAACGTTTATTTATTTGTTTATTAACATAAATCAGAAAATTTAGAACATATAATAAATATTCATGAATATTTATACATTACATATAATTAATATTCATGAATATATATATATATATATATATGATATGTATATCATAAGATTGTAATATATATATAATATCATAAATATTTATGAATCAATTCGATAAATCTATATCCACATATTATTTGTCAATACACATACATATCTATCAATACATATATTAATCTAAAATATTTCTATTTTATTTAAATAACTTATTTATTTAAATATTTTCACTTATTATTTATTATATTTATAAACCAATTTATTCAATAAATCTTTATCCTCATATCTATTATCAATAAACATGCATATGTATGAACATATTAATCTACAATTTTTTTATTGTTGTTTTTTTTTAAATAGCTTTTCATTTAATGTTTCACTAACACTATACCTTATATTTTTTCCAAAAAAAAAAAAGAAAAAAAAAACAAATGATCTATCTCTTTCTCTTTCTCTCTAATAATAATTTTGTTACCTTTAAGTCTCCAGTTCTTCCAGCAGGACTATTAGGCAAAACGTTCTTAATAAATATCCCAGAAATATTCTGCGACTTACTGGAGCTGCCATTGTGTAAGTCGACCTGAAAAATCGTATTGTTATCGATTAACCTTCTATCTTTATCTTTCTCTCTTTCTCTCTCTTTCTCTCTCTCTCTCTATCTGTCTTTCTCTTATTGCCTGTCTTTGTCTCTGTGTCGGCTATTTGCATGATATAAATCAAAATGATTTACGAACTTTTGCTGGGTGCCTAATTTAAACGATTTGCTAACACAAGTTATTTCTAAGATATTATCCTATCTGTTAGATGATTTTATTCTTCTATACTAACGTAAAAACATAAAAGATCTTTTTAACGATGCGCAATTTTCGATCTAAATAACTCGTAACACAGATACACATATACACAAATATAGAGGAGGCGTGCTCGCGAAAATAACTTTTCATTTTAAACACACAATTTTCATCCAATTTCAAGATGACTTATGAATATTTTATATATTTTTTTTTCCTCCCCCTTCTATCTACCGTTTCATTAGAACTCTGAAGAAAATTTTCTAATTAAAATACGATACTCTCTAGGGAAACTAACCGAGTTATCTTCCTATTTTACCTACTTCCTTTATCTCCTTCTTTTTAATAATAAAATATAAAATATATATAATATTGGAAATATGTAATAATAGTATTATACATGTTATTATATGTTGTATATATTATGTATTAATATAATTAGTATTAATATATTATAATAGATATAATAATTATTATATATATTTTTATATATAATATTAAAATAAATAATATTTAATTTAATAATATAAATGTTATTTTTTATATTACTATATAATAATATAATATAATAAAATAAAATATATATAATATATAAAATATGTAATAATAGAGTATTATATGTGTTATTATATGTTATATATTATGTATAGTATTATTAGTATTAATATATTATAATAGATATTATAATTATTATTATATATAATTTATATATGTATATAAACTATATACATATTTTTATATTATAATCTAATAATATAAAAATATTATTTTATATTAT